GTGCAGCCTACTGGGTGGGTGTGGATGGAGTGGGTGTGGCCTACTGGGTGGGCGTGGCCAGCTCTACATCGTTCGCATCAAGGGTGCCTGTGGGGGCCTGGGCAGGAGTGGGACAGATCTGAGGGTCTCTGGCAGAAGGGGGTGGGACCGGGGCAAGCGCCAAGGCATGGTCCATTTCTTCATTCCTCACAAAGGGTGACACCTCCCCAGTATGCACCCGGGGTGGGGCCGACACGGCAGGGGCTGGTTCCTCACTGTTTCTAGATGGCCTTGTGGAGCTAAGACTGAATGTGTTTCAGCATAGATGGCCACCACAAAATTGTACATTGGCTCCCGACCGGTCTGGGCCAGGGCCAAGGCAGCGGGGGCCATTCCCTCACTGTTTCCAGGATGGCTTCGCAGGCCACATGAAACCACTTCGCGGGCCGGCTCCGGCTCCCGGGCCTTGTGTTTGACATGTCTGTCCTAGAGTGTTTTTGTAAAAAGAATGATATCACAGGTAGTCCTTGACCTATGACTACAATTAAGCCCAAAATTTCTGCGGCTAAGCAAGGCAGTTGTTAAACGAGTTGTGCCTCATTTTATGACCTTTTGCCACTGTTGTTAAGCAAATCATTGTAGCTGTTAAGTGAATCAGGAGATAATTAAGCAGATCTAACCTCCCGTTGACTTTGCTTGCTGGAAGCTGGCTGGGAAGATTAGCAATCGTGATCACATGACTCTGGGGCAGTGCAGCGGTTATAAATATAGGTAGCCCTCAACTTACAACAGTTCATTTAGCAACCATTCAAAGTTTCAGTGGCACTGAAAAAAGCTACTGTTTTCACACTTACAACCTTTTACTGCAGCAGCATCATGTCATGTGATCAAAATTCATACATTTAGCAACTGATTCGTATTTTATGATGGCTGCAGTGTCCCAGATCATGTGATCCCCTTTTGCGATTTTCTGACAAGCAGATCCACTTAACAACTGTGTTACTAATTTAACAACTGCAGTGATTCATTTATCAACAGTGGCGAGAAAGATTGTAAAACGGGGCAAAATTTACTTAGTAACTGTCTTGCCTAGTGACAGAAATTTTGGGCTCAATTATAGTCATAAGGTGAGAGGACTAGCTGTACATGCCAGTTGCCAAATGGCCACATTTTGGTCATGTGAGCATGGGGATGCTGCAAAGGTCATAAGGGTGAAAATGATCGTAAGTCCCTTTTTTCATGCAGTAGTAGTAGTAGTAGTAGTAGTAGTAGTAGTAGTAGTAGTAGTAGTAATAATAATAATAATAATAATAATAATAATAATAATAATAATAATAATAATAATAATAATAATAATAATAATAATAAAGTTGGAAGGGACCTTGGAGGTCATCAAGTCCAACCCCCTGCTCAGGAAGGAAACCCTATACCATTTCAGACAAATGGCTGTTCAGTCTCTTCTTAAAAACCTCCAGTGTTGGAGCCTTCACCACTTCTGGAGGCAGGTTGTTCCACTGGTTAATTGTTCTAACTGTCAGGAAGTTTCTCCTTAATTCCAGGTTGCTTCTCTCCTTGCTTAGTTTCCATCCATTGCTTCTTGTCCTGCCTTCAGGCACCTTGGAAAATAGCTTGACTCCCTCTTCTTTGGGGTGGCCCCTGAGATATTAGAACTCTGCTATCATATCCCCCCTGCTCCTTCTCATTAAACTAGACATACCCAATTCCAGCAGCCATTCCTTATATGTAGTAGTAACTGTAGTAACTTTGAACGGCCACTAAATGAATGGCTGTAAGTCAAGGGCTCCCTGTACATTGAATTCCTTTAAAAATAGGGTCAGCAGAAAAGAACAAACCAAAATTCTGCTATCTGGTAAGGTGGAAAAAGAATGACAGAGGTACACAAATGGCTAAATTGAAAGTGGGGGGAAAATTGTGGAAGAAGGGATAAAAGAACAGAGCTTCCACAAGAACAGAGGGCACATTTTTCCATTGTCCCCTTGACCCTGGCGATGTCACAGCCAATTAGCAAACTACTGAAAATGTATTTTGATAATGCCCAATAGGGATGTGAAAACCATTCAGATCGGATGCCAAAAAACTGCTTCAAAATGCTATCATACAAGTTAGCACTTCTTTAAAAAAAAAAACAGTATTTCTTCCTAGGTTTGCACAGTAACCACACGTGTCACAACTGAGACCCACAATTTCCATTGTTAAGTGAGGCGGTTGTTAAGTTGGTTAATAATAATAATGATAATGATGATGATGATGTTGGAAGGGACCTTGGAGGTCATCTAGTCCAACCCCCTGCTCTGGCAGGAAACCCTATATCAGTGATGGCGAACCTTTTAGAGACTGAGTGCCCAAAGTGCAACCCAAAACCCACTTATGTATCTTCGGGTACCAGGTGGGCATGGCCCATTGGGTGGGCGTGGCCCATTGGGTGGGCGTGGCTGTGGTAATGGCAGACAGGGTGGGACTAAAAAAAAATTTTCCCCGCAAGAAGTTGAAATTTATTTTTTTTGCACACAGTGGTGGAGGCCTAAAGCGAAAAGGTTTTATAAAACCCAGCTGAAGGCCTAGGACTGGGGTGATGGCGCGTGTGCCCACAGAGAGGGCTCTGCGTGCCACCTGTGGCATGCATGCCATAGGTTCACCACCACGGCCCTACACCATTTCAGACAAATGGCTGTCCAGTCTCTTCTTAAAAACTTCCAGTGTTGCAACATTCACCGCTTCTGGAGGCAGGTTGTTCCACTGGTTAATTGTTCTCACTGTCAGGAAGTTTCTCCTTAGGTTCTTAAGTAAGTTATGTCCAGTTTTACATCTTTTCTTGCCGTGGTGGTTAAGCAAATCACTGCAGTTGTTAAATGAATCACACGGCTGTTAAGCAAATCCAGCTTCCCTCACTGACTTTGCTTGGCAGAAACCAATCGGGAAGATCACAAATGGCGATCATGTGACCCTGGGATGCTGCAACCGTCATAAATACAGGTTGTCAAGCGCCTGAATTTTGATTATTTGGCAACGGTGATGCTGCAATGGTTGTAAATGCAAGGACAGGTTGTAAGTCATTTTTTTCAGTGCTGTTCTAACTTGGATGGGTCAGTAAACAAATGGCTACAAGTCAAGGACTATCTGTATACAAAAATACATGCTTGAGTGATGTGCCCACATCTGCTCTGAAGCACCTTGTAACCTCTCCTCAGAAGCTCCTTAATTCAAACCCTGGAGAAGCTTTTTATACACCTGGAGATAGCCTTATGTCAGTTTTATTTATTTTTTATTTCAGTGCAACTGTAGCATTTATATTTCCTTAGAAATTCCTTTAAAATTCTGTCATGGAAATTCTTCTAAATTTTCATCACACATATTTTCCAAAGGCCTTTAAAAATATATATATGCCCTGTTTCTTCTTGAAAGCGACAACACTAGAATTAATCATGCATATTTTCATTCTTGCTTTTCTCCCATGTCTCTATTTCAAGGTTTTTCTTATGTTCCCTTCTCATTTCTAGCATTCTCCTTTTTTTTAAATTATCAACTGAATGCCAGGGCAAGCTGGAGGAGAAGGAGGAAGATAATACATGGGAAAAACACTAGAAATATAAACTTTGAAAAAATATTAGCAACTTAACCTGATTTTTTTCTGCAGATAATGTTATTATCATGACTGGGTGACCATTTTTGCCGTTCACGTTGACCCTCTGAACTGTGACTGCCCTCTAGAGCTGAACTAACAATCATGAGTTGCTCCACTGAATTGAAGCAGTCCGAAATACAACAATTAGCCCATTAGTCTTACTGGACTTCAAATCTTTAAAGTGCTTTCAAATAAGCATATGTAATGTTGTACTTTCCAAGGAAATCAATACAGAAAGTAAGTCTCATTGAACTTAATGAACTTTACTTCCAAGAAAACAGCCATCAGAGTCTATTGTGCTTTTTTTTTTTTTTACTGAAATTCATGCAATACGTTATGCATGAATTTAAATTACATTTCAGTGCAGTTAAATTCAGCCAATTTAGTCTGGATCAACTCAGCTACAGTAGTTTGGATCTAAAATTTCTGAGAGCTGGAGAGATGGAGAAACATGACCTCTACAGGTAGTCCTCGACTTACAAGCCTTTGTTAGAAATTACAACAGCGCTCAAAAAAGTGGCATGGCTGTTTTTCACACTTATGACCATTGCAGCATCCCCAGGGTCACAGGATTGCTATTGGACGCTTGACAACTGACTCGTATTTGTGATGTTTGCAATGTCTCAGCTTTGTGTGATCACATTTTATGACCTTCTCACAAGTGAAGTCAACAGGGAAGCCAAATTCACTTAACACCATGTTACTAACTTCAGAACTGCAGTGATTCACTTAATAACTGTGGCAAGAAAGATCGCAAAGTGGGACAAAATTCATTTAACTGTCTTGCTTAATAATGGAAATTTTGGGCTCAGTTGTGGTCATAAGTCAATGACTACTTGTAGACTCCATCTCCTCTCTCTGTGGACTTCACTCTTTTTCTTTCCATCGTGGTTAAACAAATTTTATCAGAATTTTTAATGGTATGGTTCTTATTTAATGTTTTAACATTTTAATATTTAACATGGTATTTTAATTATATGACTGTAAGCTGCCTAGAGTTGCCTTGGCGAGATGGGTAGTATAGAAGTCTAATAATAAATAAAAATAAATAAACTATCTAACCAAATTTTCAAAGGCCTGTTATGAAATATCCAGGAACTTGTTTTACTTATTTCAGAAACTTCATTTCATGCAACAATGCCAACAAAGAATTTATCAAATACATCTGTAAAGGGATAGGGGAGAAGTGAGATCACACATATTGAGATATCACTGTCCAAATAAGTCAAATTATATAATTTACATCATTTGTACAGTGACATTGCAACATATATGACGTAGTCGTGGTTTCTGCACAACATTAGGAAAACTAAGAAGATCTAGTTATAACAACAGAGGTTTGTCATTCTTTCTCAAAATATGATCAAATCAAACTCACCCAGCATCTGTGCTATTGCCACACAGTAATGGATCTGTTGTGCCCTCCTTAATGAAGTAGTTTTCTGTAACAGAAATGCAGCAATAAGTGTTTTTAATTAACAATAGGTGCAAGCTGAAAAAAAGTCTGATCCCTTTATCAGTGTAAATGGGAATTGTTCAAAATTGGCTGGAAGTATGACATTTTAGAGCACCAAGAGTTGTATCTAAGATAAAATCCCTCCCTCCCCTAGATGTTTTTTTTTCTACATATCTGTATAAAAAGACCCCAGCACCTGGCTGATATTATCTGGACACTGGGACAGGAGGCCACCAAGAGATTCTAGACCAGTGGTGGCGAACCTATGGCACGCATGCCAGAGGTGGCACTCAGAGCCCTCTTTGTGAGCACGCATGCTGTTGCCCCAGCTCCGCCTCCCCCCACAGCCTCCTCCTCACCAGCAGCCCCCCCTGGAGGAGAGTCGCCCCCGAGCGCGGCCCGCAGGGAGCAGCACGGCCAAGGACATGGCAGCAGGCAGCAGGGCCAAGACTCCACCCTCGTGCCCCATCACGTGCATGGCACTGCTGGGACGCCTGGCTACCCACTGCCTCCGTGGCAGGCCATGGAGGCAGTGGATGGCCCTGCGAGTGGGCAGGGCGGGGGGGCAAGGCGGTTTTTGGGCACTCGGTCTCTAAAAGGTTCGCCATCACTGTTCTAGACAATTTAGGATGTATCAGGGAGGCATTAATTTAGCATCAGGATCAAAAGACAACATGGAGTATGTTCATGCCTTACATTTACGCATATAGTAATAGGCAAAAATAAATATGGCATATACTTGCTAAGGATTATGGGAGTTGGATTCCAACAAATTTGGGGTAAAATGCAGGTAGGAAGTACAGATAGTCCTCGATTTATAACAGTTTGCTTAGTGATCGTTTGAAGTTACAATGGCATGGAAAAAGTGACATATGACATTTTTCACACTTATCATCATTGCAGCACCCACATGGTTATGTGATCAAATCTCAGACGTTTGGCAACTGACTCATATTTATGATGATCATCTTTTGCCACCTTCCAACAAGCAAAGCCAATGGGGAAGCCATATTCACTTAACAACCACATTACTAATTTAACAACTGCAGGGATTCATTTAACAACTGTGGCAAGAAAGGTTGTAAAAATGAGGCAAAACTGACTTAACAAATGTCTCACTTAGCAACAGAAATTTTGGGTTCAGTTGTGGTCATAAGTTGAATGGCTGGGATAAAAGAGATCATGGCTTGACCCAGTCAAGATATTCTTTGGTCTTACTGGATCCATGAGAGAAATCTGTGACCTCACCCTGGAATCGAGCAGGATGAGATCAAGATTACCTGCCTCTCCTTTCCCCTTAGCTGACACCACCATCCCCATCCTGGCTGGGGAATTCTGGGAGTTGAGTCTTAAAAGTTGCCAAGTTTGGAAACTCCTGGTCTAGGCCAGGGGTAGGCCACTTTGGCTCTTTTATGACTCGTGGACTTCAGCTCCCAGAATTCCTGAGCCAGCCATGCTGAGGGGAAAGGGAGAGGTTTCCATGCTGAGCCATGCTGGCTCAGGAATTCTGGGAGTTGAAGTCCACGAGTCATAAAAAGAGCCAAGGTTGCCTACCCCTGCCCTAGACCATTAAAGGGAGAGATCCAGGATCTCTTTGCATTTTGGATTCTACTTTCCTACACAGCAGGATGTTCTGCTAAACTTGGTTGTCTCAGCTTAGAATAACCAAAGAATGTCCGAAGCATTTATTATGCCCAGAAATGATGCACTGTTTTTGCAACTGATAAGTAGCCACTTTTCTTTCAAGCATTCTTCCCATCCATTTTTTTCCCTTTCCTCACGTTGGGTGTGATGGTGTTGAGTAGAACTTAGCTATCTCTGGAAGTGACAAGGTGCTTATAAAGCAAAACAGCATGACTGTGCCAGAAAGGAATGTGCAGCGGGCCACCTCATGCCTCTACAGGACAGATAAAAGATAAAAAAAGCAATGCCAGCTATCTTTTCATGCTCGCCTCATTCAGCCAGCCTGTGCAAGGCAAAATCACTACCGCATAGGTGACAGAAAGAAAAGGGTGTGGGAGCACTCTTTACAGGCTGATTAAGGGGTGAGCTGAAACATGCAGCAATAAAAGAAATGCTATTTTTTAAAAAATAATGCAAGAAAATGCTTATAGGGCACAACTACAATATCTGTGACAGGATTACAGAATTTGCAATATCATTTTAAGAACTTTCAGAACATCTGACAATGGCTGCCAATAGTGCATGCAATAATTTCTGTTGTGTACCATAGTTTCACATAGTTTCTATAGTACTTTCTGTACTATGACTACTATGTCATATCTTTTTCCAAAAATAGAAAGTTAGTTCAGAAGACTTCTCTCTCTCTGAGCTTGCAAAAACTAAAAACAAAAAACGGCATCTGAACCTGCAGAAACCTAGAACTAAGGAGAAACTTCCTGACAGTTAGAACAATTAACCAGTGGAACAACCTGCCTCCAGAAGTGATGAATGCTCCAACACTGGAAGTTTTTAAGAAGAGACTGGACAACCATTTGTCTGAAATGGTATAGGATTTCCTGCCTGAGCAGGGGGTTGGACTAGATGACCTCCAAGGTCCCTTCCAACTTTTATTATTATTATTATTATTATTATTATTATTATTATTATTATTATTATTATTATTATTATTATTATTATTATTATTATTATTATTATTATTATCTCCCCCCCGCCATGCATACACACCAGGTTTAGGATTATAGCAATAACACTTAGATTTATATACCACTTCAACAATATTCCCCCCAACAATCTGGGTCCTTATTTTACCGACCTCAGAAGGGTAGAAGGCTGAGTCAACCTTGAGTCCCCACCAGGATTGAACTCCAGGCTGTGGGCAGAATTAGCCTGCAATATTGCTTTCTAGTCACTGCACCACAACGGCTCAATAATGCAGAATAGGATTAGATGTTGGGTTGTCCTAAGAACTGGCTTACATCTTTTGAATCACTGCTCAAGCAACAAGCTCTTTTCATGTTGTAAAGCAGAGTCTTGGGCTATATTGAGCTGAGAGCTACTATGTGCTGAATTTTTATAGGCACAGATTTGATTTTTATTAATGCCCCGTATGTATCCATGAGCATCCTTCCTCCCAAAAAATCAGACTGTCTTACCAGGAGTTGTGTACATTTTGTTTTAGATCAGCAGTCCCTAGTCAGAAGAGAATTTAAGCAAAGTTTGCTCCTTTTGTTGAATTGTCTAGCACAGACATGTCAAACACAAGGCCCGGGGGCCGGATGCAGCCTGCGAAGTGGTTTCATGTGGCCCGCAAAGCCATCCTGGAAACAGTGAGGGAACGGCCCCCGCTGCCTTGGCCCTGGCCCAGGCCGTCTGAGAGCCAATGTACAATTTTGTGGTGGCCATCTATGCTGAAACGCATTCAGTCTTAGCTCCACAAGGCCGTCTGGAAACAGCGAGGAACCAGCCCCTGCCGCATTGGCCCCGCCCCCTGGGTGCCTGCTGGGGAGGTGTCACCCTTTGTGAGGAATGAAGAAATGGACCATGCCTTGGTGCTTGCCCCGGTCCCATCCCCTTCTGCCAGAGACCCTCAGATCTGTCCCACTCCTGCCCAGGCCCCCACAGGCACCCTTGACGCAAACGATGTAGAGATGGCCACGCCCACCCAGTAGGCCACACCCACTCCATCCATGCCCACCCAGTAGGCCGCACTCACCCTGGCCACACCCACCCAGCCCCCCAAGGGCAACCGCAATGCTGATGCGGCCCTCAATGAAATCGAGTTTGACACCCCTGGTCTAGCATACTCCATTTCAAAGCCAAAACTTTCGCAGGATTTCATAAATTCCGCCCTGAATTTCTAGTCATGAATTTAGAACATGGAAACTATTCTACAGAGCCATTTTGCATTCTGCAGAAGCAATTATAGCCCAAGCTACCCGCCCTCCTTTAAAGTAATCCCTAAAATCCTATTCCGAAGGGCAAAGGAAACACAGCGAATTTACAGGGCCTGCAGCCAAGGCGTGAAAAAATAGCAGCCTGTGAGCGCTGAAAAACATTACCAGCCTAGCATGCTATTTCAAGCAAGATAGTTTGCAAGATATCCTCTGACCTCCTTCCACATTTCCAATTTTCTGAAAACTACCAACATTTCCACGGCTATTGCCCCAAATCAGCTTCCCACAGATCAATAAGCATCCACTCCCTTGGGCAGGTAAGTGGACCTTACCTCTTGCCAGAGGTACTAACTCTGGGGTTGCGAATATCTAGGTTTGAAAGCCAGCATTTCCAAACTACAAAGGACCTTTAGTTATCACAGACTTTGTTTTTTGATGGAATTGTTGCGTAATGCCTCAGTTATTTTTGTTCCTTGCATTGGGTTATTTCTGGACACAGAGTTACTAGGAGTCAGCCAGCGTTTAAAATTAATAAATTATTATCGATTACTAATCGATTATTTGTTTTCTTAAATACTATTGGATTGTTTGCTGTCCAGGGTTATGCATTTACATTGGGCAGCTATATACATTTAAATAAATAAATAAATAAATAAATAAATAAATAAATAAATAAATAAATAAATAAATAAATAAATAAATAAATAAATAAATAAATAAATAAATAAATAAATAAATAAATAAATAAATATTCTACCTGTCTAGGGCAGGGGTAGGCCACCTTGGCTCTTTTTATGACTGGTGGACTTCAACTCCCAGAATTCCTGAGCCAGCATGGCTCAGCTTGGAAACTCTCTCCCTTTCCCCTCAGCATGGCTGGCTCAGGAATTCTGGGAGTTGAAGTCCACCAGTCATAAAAGAGTCAAGATGGCCTACCCCTGACCTAGTGCAAAACAAAGGAGAAAACCAGAAAAGAAACAGAGATGGGGAGATGCCAGAACCATAACTACTTTTATCCACTCTTCTATAAACACGTACAAATTCTCTAGGTCTCCTGGCCCTCGTTCTTAAATCGCTCCCGTCAAATCTATAAATTGAATTTAACTTGAAGAATTTTTGTAAGGAATCA